TAAATTACTTATAAACTGTAGAGCAGTTTTAAATAAAAGAAGGTGCACCATATAAAGCTTTTATTGAGTGTGATTTATTAGAAGGCATTCACAAAGCATGTTATCAAGAATAGATGAGGTCAATTTGGAATAATAAAGCAGATCTGTCCTATCATTTCATTTAGTGACAACAGAAATACATTTGCAGTGACAGCTTCATGTGGGACTTAATGCTCTTTATAGATTACTATTAATACAGTAATAGGATAGGCTGTGTAATGCTTTATATGCGATATATGACGGTGAGTGAAGAACAAATGAGATTAAATAAAAAAACTATAAAATGTGGATGATGTAATGAACTCAACATAAAGGTTTCTTCTGCATCTTTACATCATTTATAAAGTAGATCAGTCGTAGTTTGTTTGAATACATTGTTAGTATGCATGTTCTGTCATGGATTTTAAAGCAGCTTTCTGGTTTTGGAACATGTGGGAAAATTCCATAAAAAGTGTGAGGAATTGGCTGTTAACCAAACCCCGTCCCTAGATTAGTCAGGACCACCTTGATGATTGTTAGCAGCTTAGAAGCTGCATTATTTATTTTCCACTGTTTTCTTGAGTTACTTGCGGTTTGTTCCAGTCCTTCCTGGTCTGAGTAAAAGAGGAGGCTGAATCTATGGTGGAGTTGGTTTAAACACAGAGGTCACCCAAATGGACTAAACCATCTGCTGCAACAGCATAGGGGAGAATTATGTTTCTGTTGTTGTTTTTATTTGATATGTCCCCACTTTGCCTTTGAAATGTTTTCTCCACTAGAATACAAAATATTTGGTTTGGAGAGCCTTATTTTTGAGTAGGTTTGTTTAGTTGACCGGCTTATTTCTTAACCTCTTAAGCCCCAAGCCTACCTGATCTCCTGCCTTTTGCCTCCATATCAGGGGGCGTTGGGGCTTAAGAGGTTAAATAAGTACAGAAATAAATAACTATTTTAATGGTTATGTATGTTGATATTATTATTAATCTTTCTGGGGTATAATACAACCCACATTTTGAAAGTCATACGTGTGCCTGGATATTGATTGTCCTTAGAACAGATATTTTTAACATTACTACCAAGAAAGCTCTGATTCCCTTTAATAGTGTGTTTATCTGAAATATAGCAGTAAAGTGTGAGCTATAATGTAACCAATCACATTAAAGCATCTGCTAAAAAAACATAGAAAATGTTAGTGCTTAATAAAGAAAAAGAAACAACCGATATAGGAAAAGTGTGGACGTGAACTCGAGCATGAAGACATGCTGGGCAGTCATCAGATTTGGGGACCGCTTTGGAGGAAAATTCCAAGGTCAATTCAGATGTGGCCCAGCTGTGACAGAGTAAACCTTTCTGGTAGTTTTACAGCAAGACACACATGATGAGAATGAGACGAGACGTGACACTGGTTCAGTCAGAAAGACACTGATGCTTGATAATGGCAAACAATGTTACTGTGGGCTGTCAACAATCTTTTGCTTCTTTGTATTTCTTCAACATTAAGCAGTATTTAAATTTAAAATTCCCAACTGGGGCAGGAAACATCATAGACAAACCTCTCCGGAACAGTATGCTGCACAAATTGATTCTGAATGTGACAAGCAAGTCATCTTTAATGCATTCTTCCATTTGACAGGCTGCATGCTAATCATTTTAATATTTGTGCAAGCACATCAAATCTTGTATTCTGCCAGTGAGCTTTTAACTGTATACCTTTACACACACCACTAAATGGCACGTGTCATAATGACACTATCTCTGCCACAGAAGTTTTCCCACTGAGAGAATACTGAGAATACTGAATAGAGCACTCATCAGTTTTCTCCATAAATATCTTTTTTTAAAGGCAGTGAAAAGGAAACTTTGATTGAAACCAGTTAAGCAACTGAAATTGCATTCAGTCTTCAATTTATTCTTGCATCATTTTGACAGCAGCACAACCAGTGTGACAACTCTCGGCGAGACAAGCCTACAAGCCAGAAATAGATAAATTATGAGTTTGTGTCAACATGGAGCAGACATTGGCCAAGAAAAAAGTACGTGTACATGAGCTGTTTGATGCTCGGGTGACTGCACAGAAACTGGAACTCAGGGGAGATGTCCCGACATGTAGATCTAAGTAAAACACGATGGATTCACTGTTGCTTAAAAAGTAATTGCTTAAGAAACTGAGCAGCGCATTTGATGAGATGTGTACATCCTGTAGAAACATTGTGGCATTTTATTGTTTTAATCTCTTTAAATGTGTAGACATGGAGTGACTGTGGAGGATGGATGGGGGTCTAGACTGTGGATCAGTGGGTCTTCATTGCTCAGTGATGGAGAAAGGCTCTCTGGCTGTCAGTGTGCTCCTACTGATGAAGCAATGCTGTGATTGACAGATGAGTCTTAGTGAAGACCACCACTGCTCTCTTCACTCAGCTTGAGGGATAACACACCCTATAAGGAGGTGCATCCTTATGAGAATTTAGGCTTTTTATTGGCTTGTGATTCATATGAATCCATAGCTGTAATACCTAGAGAAGAGTAAACATTGTTTCATGTGACCGCGTTGCAGACAAACTGTTTGCACTGTATAATCTAAATGACTTTATCATTCTCTTGTGTGGAATGTAGGAGCCTCAAAATAGCTTCATTTCGCTGTGAGAGAGAGCTTATGATAATTGTGTTGGGTGTTTTGGCACTAGAGAATTCTCAAATCCTTGCTTGTCTTCAAGAATCCCCTCATTAAATCCTTTGCATTCTTCCTCCGGCATGTTGTCTCTCTAAAATAGCTCCAGCCACAAGTTACCTCTCCGTATCCCTGTTAGGCCCTGAGATCAGCTCCATGAGTTGAATTATAGAGCAGAAAAGTCATTAAGTGGGATAAAGATACAAAGAATCGATGAGGCAATGGATACTCCGAAGCTCCCACTTGTCTTCAGTCCAGTGCACATGAGCATCAGGGTGGTGTAAAGTCTGCTTGTTGTTTCCAGGTGAGCTCTCCAGTCAGTCTACAACTCCTCAGTTACTGATGAGGATCAATAATGACCACGTACCCAGACAACACAGAATTTGTTCTTCCTAAATAAATAGTTGTGTGGACAGTAATAAATGTAAACAATGCATTAGTTTTGGCTGCAATTCTATAGGAGAGAGATTATAAAGTTGAAGCCCCTTCGTTTAATTTCATAGTTATAAATTGTGCAGCAAATCCTTATGGACATCACAATAAAGCTGATGATGTAAAACCTCTAATTCCCCAAAGAATAACAGGCAGCAGCAACCAGTCTTTGCTGTTGTGGGTGGGAAGCTTTAAAATAGCGCCTGTCCTGAGCCTGTAATTTTAATAGCTATGTGAAAACTGCTGGATAAATGAGACCGACAGGCATTTCTTGTCTAAAGGATTGTCCTGTTTTTTTCACAGAGAGAGGCCCACGTCTCTCTCTCTCTCTGTGTGTCTCACACACACACTCTCTCGCCTCAGTGACAAGCAGATCTGACTTGTTCTCCTTTAATTATGTGACCCACCTGGGCTGAAGTCTTTCCTTATGGAAACTAATGGCCAATTGAAGCTCTGGTTTGGTGTCATTACACAGACATGCCAAGTGCACCTGTCTCAAAGATGGGAAATAAAGGGCGTGAGTGCAAAGAGGATTTTGGCTCTTACCAGAGAGAAATGTATTCATTAGAGAAAATACCCAATTTTATAGGTGTTATTGCCTTGAACCAGACACGCTCACAAGAGAAGTTATCCACATAAATGGTTGACACAAGATAAGACAAACTTTGTTTTTTTGTTTTTGTTTTTAACTTGAAAGTATTTATGAAAAACAGTACATGTGCCAGTTGTTCAATAATTCATGCAATCATTCAGTATTTATAATACTTCAGAACAAGCCATACGCAAGACCTCTGTTGATACATCAATGTTAAATCTTCAGACTATGGCAAGCCATGCCTTCCAGAGCATAAGATACAAAGTGACACTTTTATGACAGCATTAAAGGGGTTGGCGGTGGGGTGGGGTGAGGGGGGTGACGGGTTGACCTGAGAAGGGCTAAGATGATCTGTTAACTGGTTAGTAGCCAAGTGTCGGGCTAAAGTGCAATAAGCGTGTGATGTGCTGGCAGTAATCCTACAACAGGAGTCCTGCACTTGGCTTGAAGTGAATGAAATATTTTCTTTTCTCACTAAGTTTAGCTGCTTCCTCCTCACCACATGCCTGTGCGTTCATGTGGAATGAGTCATTCATGCCTGTGGTCCATAAAGCCTCACAGCCCACTCACATCCTCAAACTGCCAGGTCCCTATCCACTCTCTGCATCACCACCAGCAGCTTATACATATATATTGAACAGTTATCACCCAAATCTGTGTTGCGGCCTTCTAAACCTCAGTTCCTCCACCCTCAGGCTACAGCCACCCTGTAGTAGCCTTTATTTCCTGCTGTCTCCGTCTGTGTTTGTCAGTCAGCTTCTCTTCGGTCTCGCTCTGGGAGGCCAACCTTTCAGCATTTCCAATGATGTGCCTTGGAAATCTGTTTCCAGGGCAACCGGGGTACCAAATACTCTCCCAGCAGCATCTCGCTGGTGCGTCCTCCTTTGTTTACACTCTTGATATCTGTGAGGACGTAGGTTGCTCTAAACACATTTGGGTGGGAACAAAAAAAACAACAACAACACTGCAAATATATAGACAGGAACGGAGTGAGAGTCACACAGTCAGTTTTATGTTATACACCCACAACATGTAATATGATAATGACAGCCCTGAAGAATAGATCTGCTTTGTAATAAATCAGATCCTAAGTAGATGTCGATTTAACTAGAAGCCCACGCCACCGTTCAGCTTAAACGCCGTGCATCATCTCTAGAAAACACAAGAAATGTTCTAAAACCAGTTGATTCTTACGCGCAGCTGCGCGCTCCCAGAGTCCCCCCATTAAGCTGATCTCGTGAGGTAAATGCTATCATTTAAAAGCGTCGTCATTTAAAGACAATGGAGACGATGTCTGAGTTTTTCAAGTGATTACCTTCCTCGTTTATTTGACTTATTGAAAACCAACTCACGTCCGCCACTTTTAAGCCTTGCGCTTGCGCGTAACTCAACCGGGAGCTGTCCAAGTGCTGAAAAGAGAAAAAGGCGTTCCTCTCTCATTCCTTGACGTTCCCCCCACCTGAGAAAGATCTCACTTCATGAGTAACAACGCAAGCCAACGGGCTGTTCTTCTCAAAGCCCGCTCTTACATCTCAGCCAGCGCCACCGAAGCAGAGCTTCCAGCTGATGCGTCTTGGAGTTTCACCTTCTCTACGTCTGGCCACTGGACTGATGTCTCTTCACACCTACGTTTCGACAAATCTGTTTTCGGGAGTTTCATGAAACCGCGTTGAGGAATGTCTCCTGTATATTCCTGTGACAAAAGAAGACCCAAACGCCCACGACTTAGTCCGGAAAAAAGCGGGGTCCCTATCTGGATTATGTGTTTGACTAATGTAAACATATGGAAGAAATAGAAAAGTGAGCACATGGGGAAACCACCAGGAATGAATCGCTCCCTTATTAAGGTTTTAGCAGCTTTATTCATATATCTGATGGAGACAAACAACTTCAGGTAGGCGAATCTATTTATCAAACACATTTGATTCAATATCCGTGAAACACTTTGTCTCTTCCAAGTAAAGTTTGGAAATTTAGATGTTAGAAGTTTTCGATGTGTTAGTTAGGGAAACAACATGAAAGCAGCGACAGTGAAGAAATTTCTGAACAAAGTTGGTAATTGAATATGATGTGCTTTTATTTTCAAAACTCTTTCTTGATTAAGATTTTAATCATCGATTGTTTTGTCGAGATTATTCGCTACCTAAAATATTATTAATACAAAAAATATTCGTATTGGGAAATTTGGTTTGTACTTAAATGGTGACAGAGACGTTTACGCGTGTGATGGTATTTTCCCTTCCCCTCTGGCAACTTAACATTGCGTTAAAACATGGCTACAGCGTGGTGTGGTATCTGTGCGTGAATCTTTATCAACAGAATAATCATTTCTTAGAGGAGAAGCCCACGACGTCGAAATCCCATCCGATACGTTTGTGCGCATTAACGCATTTTTTCTGGTTTCGCTCTGCGCCCACCACTGCGAGGCAGCTGCTAGGGGAAAGATAAGGTTTAACTACTAACCGATTCTGAGCTCTGACTTGTGTGATCCAGTGATTTTTCTCACCATGTGTGCGTTCCAGAGTTGTGGACGCCAAGGAGCACGATTCCAGATCATCCTCCAACCTGTCTCCATCAGACTTTCTGGACTCACTCATGGGTCGCACGTCTGGGTATGATGCGCGAATAAGACCGAATTTTAAAGGTTTGTTTGTCACGATCTTTATGTTTTAACATAATCTCCACACGCCCCACAAATTTCTAGAAACACAGCAAGTTGGGCATCTTTACTTATATGATTCACTAAAATGACTCAGAACACACAATCACTTCAGTCATCAGTAACATGATTGTTCCGGCTTGAATGAAACCACAAATTAATTCCTCATTATAACATTGCGTGCATGTTTTCCTGATTTCCTGAAAATGTGTTAAGCAGTATCCCCATCAGGATAACATCATTTAAAACGGATGCTTGTAAATATCTCCGTCACAAAGAAACAAATTGGTTCTTGCAGTAGACAAGGATGCCACCGTGACAGGCCAAATGATGGATGGTGCCCCCGTGGCAAGGCTGCAGGCTACTGACTTCCTCTGTTGTTGTTGCTGCTGTGATGCTGAGGACAGACACAGCATCACAGCACTGGAACAGAGCTGAGTGAGAAGATGCTAGCCCAGCGGCGTTCAGGCCCACTCCAGGCTGGGTCAGGTGGACTGGGACTTGTTGGGTAGCTGAAGCAGTCAGACAGTACAGCACAGGAGCTAATCAGACTCAGAGACACATGGCCCAGATCTTTCCTTCCCATTTGAGGGAAAGGGAAAAAGTGTTTATTGCTGAGATGGACTCAAGATAAGAGGAATATAGCCTGCTTAATACCAGCTGGCATTTTTTTCTTTTCTTTTTTTTGCGGAGGGATGATGCATCACTTCTAGCCTTCAAAAAGAAACAAAAAAGCCTGATTTTATGTTTCTGGTTATTCTTTATTCTGATGACACACACACACACACACACACACACACACACACACACACACACACACACACACACACAC